GGGCTTCTTCTCCCGCTGGGTCTTATTTTCAGGGAAATATGGTAGTAAGCTTGGGGGAAATGTTCTAATTAGGATTTTATCTCAAAGAATTCTTTGCTTTGTTGAATGGGCACCACCTTGGGCAGTCAGTTACAACCTGGGTGGGGGGCACAGGCAGGACAGTGTTCAGCAGAGTCAAGGAGGACTGATTTTTATGGGGTCAAGCTGTCAGTGATACTCTTGTGTTAGAATAGCCATGTTTCCCTCGTCTTTGCATCACCGCAGGGCCTCAGGAAACAAGTACTTACATTACAAGTCTGTCCGTACATCTATGTATCTTGTCTAGGCATCAATAATCTCTTTCTCCCTTAACTATTTAGGAGAGTGAGAGAAGAGCTGGGTAATGCACTTAAATACTTGCTCTGGGTCACTTCTCTGGACCTCAGTTTCCTTGTCTGTAGAATGGGTCACATCTCCCAATTTTCTCAGCACCTTGTTTTCTCCTGTGGATCACATGGGCACAAGTTATCACCAGTATTTCTCCTTCTCTCCCTTCCACAAACATTCACTGAGCACCTACTATGCACTAAATACCATGCTAAGTGCTTGGATAAACTAATACATTCATTTTCCCTTCGGGGAGATTATGCAAAGCTGCGGCAAATAGCCCACTGGGGGCAGGTGAGCAGGAGGGAACGACGTTTGCAGTTACTAATCAGGAATATCCCAACCTGGGCCTGGCCCACTGTGGAGCTCAAGAAGCATTTGTGTGTTGAATGAATAAATGGATGGATGGATGAGTGGATGAATGAATGAATGAATGAATTAATGAAAAGCCAAGCAATTTGGCTGGGTAGCCTGTCCAGCCCGATCTAAGGTGAAGGTACACTGTCCGTCCAGCTTTCAGAATAATTCTCCAGCACTCGCAGGTTCTCGCTATTCAGACAGAGCCTGAGTTAGGGCTTGTGGACAAGCTTGGCGAGGCTCTCCTCACCCTGCTCCTCTCTCCTCAGGCTTCTCCCCAACCTCGTGGACAACTTAGTGAACCGAGTCCTGGCCAACGTCCTCCCTGACTTGGTAAGAACCTATCCTGGGACGAGGAGTGAGAAGCACAGACTTTCCCCAGACCGAGGGGCCGCAGTCCAACCTCCATCCCTGTGGGCATGCAGGTGACCCAGAGGGATGGAGGGAACCAGGGAGCTGGGGCATGTTCTTGGGCCTGGGAAGGACCCTGAGGAACATGGAGGGACAGGTTAGTAACGGGATAAGGAGGGGGAGCTTGAGAATCACACAGTTCCCGGTTTGAGTCCCAGCTGTGGCGCTTGCAAGCTGTGTGACACGTCACATCACCTCTCTGAGTCTTGGTTTTCCCATCCGTAAAAATGGGGATTATGAGAGCGCCTCCCCATGGGGCTGTGGGGAGGACAGCACCAAGCAAGTCAGTAAACGTTAGCTATCGTTGTTATTATTCATGTATCCCCTCCCCAACCCTCTGCACTGTCACCAGAACTTCATGCCTTCTCTCCCCTACAGCTCTGCCCCATTGTGGACGTGGTACTGGGTCTTGTCAACGACCAGCTAGGTCTTGTGGACTGTAAGTTCTTCCTGCTTCACTTCATTCAGCCAACATCTATTAGCACATGATTGGGGCCTAGCCTGTGGAGGGCCAGGGACATTGCAATATGTGGAAGGAGGGCCCAAGGTGGTGGGGGCGGCAGACCCACCCTCAGGCCCTTGGAGTGCTGTGTGACTGACGCCTTGACAGAGAGTCTCCGTGGCCTTTCTTCTTGTCCCCAAACACCACCACTCAGAGGGAGGAGGCTCCCCACTGGCCCCAGGAGGGGCTACGGGTCTGGACTGCGAATCAGGAGGTTGAGTTTGAGCCCTGGCTCTGCTCTGGCACGTGTGGACTCAGAGAGACTATCCCGTTTCCTCACCTCTAAAACGAAGGGGTCAGCTTCAACCCACAGAGGGACTGGAGAGTGAGTAGCAGGAGACACCATGGAGACTGTCCAGGTCCTCAGAGCCAGGCTCCAATGCCACCTCCTGATCCAGTGAACATTGTTGAAGACCAGCCTACCCCATATGGTTGTGCAGTTCCTGCACTGCATGATTCCAGGGATCTCCTTTTATATAGACCACAACATAATGGCGGTACCTGAGTTGTGCAGTGCACAGCCTCTACAGCTGTACAGGGCAACCCTCTCTGATGGTGCTCCCATTTCTCTGGGACTCCAGGCAGTTTGAGGATGGCTTTCCTAGACAAGTAAAATTCTCTCCCTATTGTGGCCAGAAACAAGGGAAGAAGAGCCCAGACGGTGGGGCTATTCATCACAAGCAGTCAGGGAGATGGCCAGATCCAATGAAGTACCATATTTGTAGAAACTTAAAGTTTCTTCCCTGGTGCTCAGCACTTCACAGTTTACAAAGCTTATCAATATCCAGGATCTCACCCCCCACCCCAATAAAGTCCAAGGAGTTATGTTAAGACTGTTTTACAGAGGTGGAACTTGAGGTTCAGAGAGGTGCAGTGTCTTGCCTGAGGTCACACAGCAAGGATAAATCAGCTCTGGGATTTGAACCCAGAATTCTTGCTCTTTCCATGGTTTCTGGAGCTGGAGCTTTGCTAGCCTGTCCCTGTGGGGCACAAAGAAGGAAGGTCTCTGGGAGTGTGAGGAGACCTCCTTGTGACCCCCACCTTTGCCTGCAGCTCTGATTCCTCTGGGGATATTGGGAAGTGTTCAGTACACCTTCTCCAGCCTCCCGCTTGTGACTGGAGAATTCCTGGAGCTGGACCTCAACGTGAGTGCCTGGGCTTTAGAGGAAGAGGAGGTGGCCCTCTCCCTACAGGCAGGGGTAGCAGTGAACGTCCCCCAGGGCTTCTGCTGAATGCTTAGGAGGCAACATTTGAACAGGACCCTTTCATGATTAAAGGAGGACTTTCCGGAAGGAGTATTAGAAAATGCAATCACAGCCAACACGTGCCAAGTGCTTACTGTGTACCAGCCGCATTCCTAGTCCAACCTCACAGCAACCATATGAGACAGGCACTCTTACTGAGGAAACGGAAGCACAGAAAGGTTAAGCCACTTGCACAAGGTCACACAGCTAATAAGTGTGAACCTGGCATCTTAACCCAATCTGGCTTCCAGCTACTAGAGCTGCTGCTATGAACTTGGGTTTCCTGGAGGAATGAACCCTGCCAGTAGTGTGCTGGTAAGCATTAACAACCGGCTCTCGGTGATTCAAAAGAAAAAGTCCTGTTTTGTAACACATGCTGATTTCCATGGTACAAATGCTCTTCCACCACGGCCAGTTTCAAGCTACCAACATGACTCACTGAACATAAAGCTGGGAAGAGATGTGTGGCATCAGGTCCTGTGAGCTGGCTCCAGCACACCCCTGAATCTGGCCCCCAGCTGTGCACAGGGCACACACTCGTATGTACTTCCCCTGGGCTACGTGAATATGGGTGCTTCCCCATAGGCTCCATCAAATATAGAGCTGCAAGTGCACACTCATGCTCTCATGTACACAGCACACCTGTGCGCACATATACATGCACACGTAGCATGTTAATAAACACATAGCCATTCAGGAGGTATTTGGTTACCTGCTGGATGCCAGGCTGTGCTGGTACTGGAGTTGCAGTGGTGCACAAGACAAGATTTCTGTCCCGGTGGAGCTTGCAGTTTTTTGGGACAGGCCATCCAAGAATCACTCGCACAAATGTACGGTTATAAATCATGAGCACTGTGAAAGAAAGTTCCTAGCTATCAAAGCCTAAAGCAGGGGATATGACGTACCCAGGGGGGTCATGGAGGGCTTCCTGAAGGAGGTGACACTTGAGCTGTCAGAAGTAAGAGGAGAGGAGTGTGGCAGAGGGAACAGTGTATGGGAGGAGTCATGGTGGGGGTGCTGAGGCGGTGGTAGGGGCTGACCAGGCCCTGGTGGCTGCACTGTGGAGGGTGGTTGAAGGACAGAGTGGCTCAAAGGTGAGGTGGAGAGGTCCCCCTGGGGCTGACCATACAGGGCCTTGAAGGCCATGGAAAGGAGTCTGGTCTTTAAAGAGTAGATACACCAATGTGTATTGTGCAGGTGCATAAACACTAACTCATTATAGCAGGGCAGGGAAAGAATCGATGTCATACATGTATTTAAAATATATGGCAATATGCCATGGCTATAATTATAAATGGTCATAAAGTAGGAACCGCAAAAGTTTCCATGCCATCACAAATTGAAGAAGACCTGGGGGCCATAAATGAAAGAATCACTCAGATCCAGTAGGTTTAATCAAGGAAGGCTGGTTGGAGGCAGATTGACGGAGCCTCCCTCCTCTCCTCGTCTCCCTGCCCCCCTGCCCCCCTGCCTGTGACCCTTTTCTTCTCTGCTTCCCCAGACTCTGGTTGGGGAGGTTGGAGGAGGGCTCATCGACTATCCACTGGGGCGGCCAGCCATGGCTCCCAGGAATAAGATGCCAGAATTGCCCCCCATGGGCGACAACACCAACTCCCAGCTGGCCATTTCTGCCAACTTCCTGGGCTCGGTGCTGACTCTCCTGCAGAAGCAAGGGGCACTGGATATTGACATCACTGATGGCATGGTGAGTCATGGCCCCCCCTGGAGGTAGGGCAGGCTGATCAGCCAGAACTCCCTATTTACCCTCTAGGCCCCAGGGCCTTGAGGAAATTGCTTTAAAGTGAGAACTATAGACTCGCCACCTCTTGGCTCATCTCCAATTCATGGATGTGTGTCAATTATATCAGTGCATGGTGCCTAAGAGGATTGTAGGTGATTCCCAGACATGGGGATAAACAACATCAAACCATATGATGAGACCGATTCTCCCTATTCAATTCTATTTAATTGTATTCCAATCCTTTTTTAAAAGCATAATATATATTCATTGATATGTATCTCCATACAAATGTTTAGAATCCTTTCACCTGATAAACACTGATACTAAGTAACTAAAAGATACATAAGAATAAAATACGCTTAGGTATGTTCCAGAGTCATTTTCTCTCCAAACCTTTTCTTTTGAAAAATTTCAAGCCTTCAAAAAAGTTGCAAAATAGAACAATCAATGTTCAAATATCCTTCTTCACCTAGATTCACCAGTTAATACTTTGCCATCTTTGCTTCATATCTATCTATTCATCTATCTGCCCGTCCATCCATCCATCTACATAATCTATCTATCTATCTATCTATCTATCTATCTATCTATCGATCTATCTATCTATCTATCATCTCATCTATCTATCAGTTGTTGAACAATTTTCTTGGTAACATCATGACATTTCACTCCATAAACTTCAGTATGTATCTCATAAAAACAAGATGTCCTTCCCCAATCCACCATACAAATTATGTCAATCTTTGATTCCATTAAGAGAAAAGCCTCCATTTTGTGCCAGTATGCAGATAACCCTCTCCGGCACTTTGAAGTGTCCTCTTTTTAACCCAGAAACTCATGCCCATAGCCCTCCACAGACAATACCCCTGCAGAACGTAATGGCATTGCTTTGTTTTTATTGCATTTAGTTTTACAGTTGCCATCTCTGTAAAGTGATACTGGGTTTCCACGTTTTAGTATTTGAGGTTTTAAAAAGTAGGCCGATTTAAAGTAGGTATTAAGTAAACAATAGTACAGGTGGTCCAGGGATATGGCAGAAACATGCATTTAGTGGACACTGGGTTATGCACATGGACGCGCTGATGCTCACCTGACATTTTTAGAGGGCCAAGAGTCAGGTCTTGCCTCCTGCCTTCTAAGTCAGGCCTGTGGTGAGCTAAAGCGGCTGGCCTCCACTTAACCACAGAGCAGCTACCTTACATAGTGGCCGCTATTGGATAGGTAGGGCCCCCCAACCTATTGTCTCGCTCTCTTTAAGGGGGAGACGGTGCACCCGCTGGTTGTCTGAGAGAGCGTAGGAGTTAATCGCTGTGTTAGCAACTCCTGTCTGACCCCATAGCCTCAGGGACTCTCATGGCTCTCCTTCTTATCCTGCAGTTTGAAGAGCTTCCTCCACTCATCACATCCACGTTGGGAGCCCTGATTCCCAAGGTACGTAAAGCAGGGGTGTCCTCTTGTCTTCAGCCTCACCCTCCTCCCAGGAGCCGGATTGGAAGGGAAGGTACTCAGTACTAGGGTGGGTGCTCTGACCCCCCCACCTTGGGAGTGCAGTGACAAAGGCTTGGAGGCGAGCACAGAGGGGCACAGAGATGAGAGAGAGGCACAGAGGGTTGAGTTAGAAAGCTCCTGAGCTCTAGCAGTGGACTGGCCTGAACAGGTCAGATCCTGGCCTGGCCACTTCCTCGCTGTGTGTCTTTGGGCAAGAGCCTTAATATATCTGAGCCTTAGCTCCCTTATCTGTCAAAAAGGATGCTAACTCATATTCCACAGGTTCACATAGGAGGGTAAAGGAGATGAAGGAAGGAGATGTTGACACAGGGCACATGTGGGTACATGGTAGCTTCGAGGAAAAAGCCAGCTCTTTGGAGCAGACAAACATGACTTTGAATTTCCACTCAGACATCCCAACCATACTACTACCTTAGGCAAATGCCCTCTCTCCGAGCCTCATTTTTCTCACCTGGAAAACGGGAGCAACAATGCTCACCTCACAGGGTAGCTATGGACCTGGGATTTGAACCCAGGCACAGGGTAGGCATTTGATAATGTTAACTTGTATCGCTTTTTTAAATAATAACAAATTATTTAAATTTAAAAAAAAAGAAAGCAAATGCGCTCTTGTCAGATTAATGGCCATATGCAGTTGGAACAAAGGCCTTTCTGATCCTAGTCTTTTTCCCAGCTCTTCTCCCAGGCACCAGGCAGCAAAGAGCTTCTTAATGTAGTAAGCTTTATACAGGTGTGAAAGATTGCTGTCATCTGCAGCCATTTTTGACATTTTTCATCTCTTTTCTACCTGTGCTGCCTAGTTCTGGGTGGAATTCAAAGGAGGCAGGAAAGGAGACCAAACTCAACAAATGGTCACTATCGCCCTCATGTGGTTGAAAGCAGAAAGGCAGAGCACCATGCTCTAGTCGCAGCGGTTCTCAACCTTCCTAATGCCGCGACCCCTTAATACAGTTCCTCATGTTGTGGTGACCCCCAACCATGAAATTATTTTCGTTGCTACTCTATAACTGTAATTTTGCTACTGTTATGAATCATAATGTAAATATCTTTTTGTTTTCCGATGGTCTTAGGCGACCCCTGTGAAAGGGTCGTTTGACCTCCAAAGGGGTCGCGACCCACAAGTTGAGAACCACTGCTAGTGTCTTAAACAGTGAGAGCTCCAGGAGGCAGGCGAACCCCTCCAACTGGACCTTTTATGTATTGGTCCACTTCCTGTGAGCGTTGAACTTTACAGTTTATGAAAGTTCTTAAGAATCCACTTTTTCATTTGGTTTTAATCATCCCCCATCCATGGGGCCAGAAGGGATAACCAATTTTACAGATGGGGAAACAGAGTTCACACAGGGAGGTCACACAATGTGACAGCAGCAGAACTGGGCTAGAGCAGAGATGCAGGCCTTGAAACGGGGCTGTGTCTGCAGCAGAAGGATTCAATCTAGACACTAGGGAACATCTGGAGTCCTAGGCTAGGGCGGAGTCACCAGTAGAGGCTTGACCAGAGCTGGGACTGGCATCCTGGGTATTCTGATGTGTGGGGAAAGTTCAAGGTAACCTCTCAGTGTCCCTGAAGAAGAAGGTTTGCTAATTCTTGGAGACTGTATGTTGGGGTTGGGGTGGTTGGGACACCAGGCCCCTCTGGGGAAATACCCTGAAAAATCCCTTTGTGAAGAACCAGTTCACCAAATCATTGATTTATTGAAAGCCAACTTGCCAAAATGTGAATTCACTGACTGGCCAGTTGGATAAATTTACTAGATGTGTCAATAAACCAAGAGCTTGTTCAAAAGACTTTCACCTTGGATGTGTTCAAGAAAATGAATAGTCTTTTTAGGACCAGGAACCACACTGCTGCATTGCCTATGGAAGTTTCCATTTACATGGATTTTTAAAAAGTAACTCTGTGGTTTTTCCCCTATATTTATGCTTATTTAATATATTTTTAAAAATTGTTCCTTAAAATAAAGTTTTTGGTAAATCAGTTATTTAGCAATTATGGGAAACTGGTCATTTCCTGAGTTGTCCCTTTAGCCAATTAGCCTTTGTAGCCAACTGGCCCAGATCCCTCCCAACATGGGTTTCTGGAGATCCCAGCAAATCCAGGGGGTGGGACAGGCCATGTCTTTCTCCAAGACTTCACTGTGAGACACCCTGAATTGTGGATTTTCTCATTCCAGGTCTAGAGACAGTGGGAGGGAGAAAAGGCCTGGGCTTCTGAGTGACACAAACCTGGGCTGGAATCAACTCTCCTGCTGGCCTTGGACAATTTGCTTGGTATTTCCCTCTGAGCCTCAGTTTTCTCATCTGCAACATGGAGAAAATATACCCTATGGAGTTGTGATAATTCGTTGACATCATAAATGTCCAGGTGACCCTACTCACTTGGTACCAGTTCTATGCATCAGGCATTGAGCTCGAAGCTTTACTGACATCCTTTACATTTAATTCTCCCAATGATCCTATGTGAGAGGCTCAGAAAGGGCAGCCCCTTGCCCAAATCCAGCAGCGGGTTGGAGCCTTTGCATGTGGTTTGTAAAACTCAAGAGATGTTGTTGGATCGGAAGGTAGCCAGTGTGAGACCTTCCAATACCCAAGGCCCACTCACGCTAGCCTGGTGTCCACCTACAGGTGTTCCAGCAGTACCCCGAGCCCCGCCCACTCACCATCAGGATCCAGGTACCGAACCCACCATCAGTGACGCTGCAAAAAGACAAGGCACTGGTGAAGGTGTTTGCCACCTCTGAGGTCATGGTGTCTCAACCCAATGATGTCGAGACCACTATCTGCCTCATTGATGTGGTGAGTATCTAGAGGGGTGGGTGACCACGTGGTCTATTGCAGCCCACAGAGTCTTTCAAATCCCCAGTCCCCTCCATAGTGACTACACGCTTGACTTTGGGGCCAGATAATCTGATTCAAATCCAGTCTTATAGCTATGTGAACTTGAAAAGTCACTTCCCCTCTATGGGCTTGATTTTCTTCTCTACCACATGGGAATGGCAGTAGGACATTAATAAGATGCTCAGAGCAGTACCTGACATACTGTAAAGGCTCCAAAAGTGTCGGCTATATTTATTCTCATGGATTGTATATCACAGTGCGTGGCAAAGTAGGCTTCGGTCACACATCAGCAATATTTATTGCATACCTACTGTGTGTTATACTTTCTACTAGATGCTGGAGGAACGGGAAATTAGACAGATGGCACTGGCCCTCTTGTTTCTGGTACCTAACAGGGGACTGATACAAAATACAACAACTTCCACAACTGTTTCTTAGAGAGGAATCCTCTTAAAAATATGTTACTCCCCTTCTCAAAAGACTTGCTTTCAATCATGAAGCATAAACCAATCCTCTCACACTGGCCCACAAAGTCCTTCGAGATCACCCCCCGTCACCTTTCAGCTCCTCAATCTTTCTTGCAACATGCCAGGCACAGTACAACCTCAGGGCCTTTGCACATGCTGTTCCAGGTGCTTGGAATGCTCTTCCCCCAGATAGCTGCATGGCTCACTTTCTTGTTTCCTTTAGGCCTCTGCTCAAATCTTCCCTCCTCAGAGAGGTCTTCTTGTACTGCCTGTCTAAAATATCTCCACCCTTCCCATCTTTCTCTCTCTGCCTCCCTTGCTTTACTTTGTTCGTACCCTTAACCTGACATTATAAAATGCATTTGTTTGTTAGTTTATTTGGAGGCATGGATGTGAATTGTCTTCTTCATTGCCGGATCCCCAGAGTCTAGCCCAGGGTCCAGCACATAGCAGGTGCTCAATAAATATTTGTCAAAGGAATGTGTTGTATGAGGTGCCATTTCCCCCTCCAGGATTAAAGCTTTGGACTCAGACATTTGGGTTTTGTCCCATCTGCTGTGTCTTCCCAGTCTCTCCTTCCAGGGCTCGAGACAAAATGAGCCCCCTCTAGTCTCGGAGCATGCCAAGTCCTGGTGTATGTGTGGGAGTGGGTGGGGGTGAGGGAGGCTCTCATTGTAAGATGAGAGATTAAAAGGGCTGATTCTCACTCAGGAAGTGTAGGCGGCTGCCCCGACCCAGTCCCTTGTGGACTAGTCCCTACTATGTGCAGATTTTTCCATCAACAGTCAAAATATTTGTTTGATCCTGCTCAGAACTCTTCCATGACTCCCCAGGATGCAGCCCTGAGTCCTCTCCAGCCCACTGCCTCCACCTGGCCTGGTTCCATCCCACTCCTGCCTCCTGGAGTCCTCTCACCTCCTTCCTCTCTAGCCTTCTCTCTGTCCCTCTAATGCCAGCCTCTTTCCTGACCCAGGGCTTTCGGACATGCCCTTCTCACTACCTGGACCATTCTCACACCCTCGTCTTCATCTGGTCAAATCCTACATATCCCCCAGGTCTCAGTCCAAATGCCATTTTCTCATGAATGGATGGATTTCTATGCCCACACATGTTCCTGCCAAATACACCTGGAAGCCCTTCTCTGTCATCCCAATGATTGTTATTATTGTTATTACTAGTAATGTTACCTGAATTTGTTCAGAGCTGCCTTTTTTTATAAGACCAATTTATTTTATTTTATTTTATTTTATTTTATTTTATTTTAGGGGGAGATAGGGAAGCAGAGAGATTTTCCTAAAACAAAGCTTCTGCTTGTGAGAGGGGCATGAGTTTGAACCTTTTATTCCCTCCATGGGGTGGGCAGGGCAATTATGATTGACAGTGATGATGCCCAATCCCATCTACTCATCTGAAGCAGATTTCCTAGGCTGAGGCCATTCCACCCCCTCTGAGACAGCTCAGAGGAACTTGTAAACAACCCATGCCAACTGTTGGCTTCCTGTTCCAGTTGTCTTCCTGAAAAGTGTTCACTCAGCCATTGCTGTGACTTACTGGTGAACAACAGTTAATGAAGGAAATTTATTATTCCTAACTCCTTCCCTCCAGAGGGGGGATATCTGTTATATGGTGAAGGCTGTTGGGGGTCTTGACTTATAAAAGGGCTTGACTGTGACCTCAGGGAATAGCCTGCTATTATGCTCAGTGTTAATGAAGCACCTAGCCAACGCCTGATACACAGTGAGCCCTCAGCAGGCAATGGCCAGTATATGACGGCAGTGACGTTTCATTCTCCTTCCCTTTCCTCCAGGACACAGAACTCTTGGCCATGTTTTCCGTGGAGGGCGACAAGCTTATGATTGATGCCAAGCTGGACAAGTAAGGGGGTTACGGCCTCAGGCTCCTGTGGTCAGAAAGGCTTCTTGGGTGCAACAGTGTCTGGTGCCAGCTCACGGAGGGACACCAGGGAGGGCTGAGAGGTCTCCCGGTGTGGCTGTGAGGGCTGGATAAATCCAAGAGGCTGCAAAGGTGAAAATGGGCAGTGACTGCAGGACCACCGACACAAGTCAGACAGAGTGGGTGAAGCCTGAGCTTAGTACAAAGAACCAACTGCCAACAATAACAACATCAATAACAATAATGATGCTGGTGATGACAATGGGCCAAGCTCTGCAGTAGGTGCTTCTCTGTATTGTCTTGTTTAATTTCCCAATGGTCCTGTGGAGTCAGGGTTATCATTCTCCCATCTTAAAGAAGAGAAAACTACATTACACAGAGAAGTGGATTTATTTACTTAGGGCCACACAGTGACAATAGTGAGAGGCTATGAGCCTCTAGGTCTGTATAGCCTAGAGCTGTGATGAATGGTTACAAACATGGGCTTTGAAGCCAAGCAGTATGGGTTCAAATCTCAATGAGACCACTGACTGGCTGTGTGATGTAGGCCGAGTGACCTTGCCTCTCTGAAACTCCATGATCTCATCCAAAAATGGGAATAATAACCCCTACCTCATAGGACTCATAATAATAACATTTATTGGATGCTTTCTATGTGCCAGGCATTGAGTTAAGCCCTCACTGTGTTTCAATTCACTTAATGACATCATCCTATGGCAATAATATTATTATCCCCACCTCAAGATAAATGAGATTATATGTAAAATTTTCAGCATGTGCCTAGTTCATTGTAAGTTTTTCTTCTTACTACAAATATTTATCAAGCCCAACAATGAGAGTTACATATAATGATATTCATCAGAACCACCCAGGAGTTTCTAAGAAGGTAAAGTTGAACCCGCGGCCTGGGAGAGAAGGGGCCAGCGCATGAAGAGCAGCAAGACCAGTACAAGCCACCTTGGCGGGGCAGGAAATAGCTTGGGTGTTAGGATAGAGTGGCCGAGGGGAAAGGAGGGATGGGAGTAGAATTGGGGAAGCAATAAAACATTTGTTTCTCTCCTGCTGGATGCCAAATGGCTCCAAAGACCCTACCCTATGGGCAAGTCTGGTCTGGCCTCTCAGGTAGGACTGTTGGTTTGCAGATGAGATTCAGGCGCAGTGAGACTCGAGTCCTCGCAGTGCAGAGCGAAACCTCAAACCCAGGCCTCTTCCTGCTCAGAACAGCACAGCAGCCAAGAGCACAGGCTCAGGGTGCAAATCCTGGGCCCTCCCTCCCGAGCTCTGTAGCCATGGCTAGTTACCCTGGAGCCTCAGGTTCCTCTCCCCCAGGGTTGCTGAAAGGGTTAAACAAGTCAGTGATGATCACTAACACGTGCATGGCACTCACCATGAACCAGGCAAGGTTCGAAGGGCTTTACTTGAATTATCTCATTTAGTCCTTGCAGCCACTCACTTTGCAGAGGAGGAAACTGAGGCATAGAGAGGTTAAGTACTTTGGCGAAGGACACATAGCTAGTAGTATATGTGTATAGTGACAGGCTATGAGCCAATCCAGGTCTGTGGTATATAAAGCCTTGCCATTGTGTCTGGTATGTGGTTGGTGCTCAATACTTGGAGACCAGCAATTGTTCTTATTTACTCCCCCCAGGTCAAGAGAGGTCTTCGTGAGGATGCTGGCGGAGGGGCTTCTGATAGCTTAGTGACATTCCAGCCCTTTGTGAGCCTCAGGCAATCACTACTTCTGACTGGCTGTCTATTTTATCTGCAGGACAAGCCTCAACCTTAGAACCTCAAACGTGGGCAATTTTGATGTAAGTACCAAGCTCGGGCCCCAGAGTGAGATCTTCTTGGAATGGCAATCCCCGTGAGGCTGGCTGGGGCCTGGGTGGTTTGTGAACTCCAAAGCATTTATTTACATCAGTGCTGTCAGGCCTCATTTCACAGGTGGGGAAACAGGCCCACAAGGCCAGAGAGAGACAGAGTACCGACTCACAGCTCCAACTCTCCCTACGGGGCTGTCACATTTTAACTGACTGCCCCCATGCAGGCCACTTGGCCCAAATCCCTTCACTCCAGGGTGGGGAGGTGGTGAGGGCAGCCGTGTCCTACGGGACCCCTTCTTCCCTGGATCAGGGGGTTCTGCTTTGCCACTGACTCCTTTAGGACCAAACCACTCAGAGCCTCAGTTTCCTCATCTGTAAAACAAAGACTTGGATTTATTTCTAACCTCTCTTTTACCTCCACATTCTGGAATTCTGCTTTTCCAATCTGAGACACCCATATTCTAAAGTTTAGTCTGTTTCAGCTCTGTTCATTCTTGGGTCCCCCACTCCACCTAAGGCTTTGGAAGTTCCCTTCTTTTCTTTTATAAATTGACAATGAAACAGACTCTTGTTCCCTAGGACAAGCTTGGGTGATTTCCATATGTGCAGAGAATACCCATGGTGTTGCCCATTTTTGAGCTTTTCTAACCCAAACAAATACAACCCATGGAGTTGGGATCGCCAGCTTCGTTGTACAGATGGAGAGACTGGTGCCCAGAGCAGGGCAGTGACGTGCCTCACAGCTGGTTGGGGCAGAGCTGGGGCTAGAACTGGACTCTCTGGACTCCAAGTAGAAAAAGATGCTAACATTTAATGTGAAATTAATGAATGTTTGTGAAGCAAAAGCAATTGGCACCAGACACTAAATTATGCTTTTTTTTTAAACAAGTTTTTCTCATTTAATCCTCACAACAAACTAATGATTTGGGTACAATTATTAGCCCACTTTCCAAATGAGGGAGGCAATTAAGTGACTTGCCTAAGGTCACGGAGCTAGTAACAGGCAGCGCTGGGATGTAAGTAAGTCCCCATGCTTTTTTCACTGTAGTACCACATGACACTACGCTTCAGCAGGTTTTTTACATATCGTAACTTAGTTTGATTTTTGACAACACCCCTATGAAGGAAGGAGTATTCACTCCCATTTTCATATGTGGAAACCCAAGTTAAGAGAGATCGTATACGAAAAGGCTCAAGGCCAGGCACTTGCATGATCTGCTCCTAATCCTTGTGGCATCCTTGCAAGCTGGGCTTGCTGGCTCATTTTTCGGATGAGAAAACTGAGGGCCAGAGAAGTAAGGGAACCTTCTCAGAGGCCCATGAAGGCTGAACTGGGATGAAAACCAGATTTTTGGCTACGGGGCCCAAGGGCCTTCCATGACACCATCGTGGTTTCAGAATGAGCCCCTATAGACCCCATGCTCTGTGCCTCCTAGGGAAGAATTGGCCTTCTTTTAGTCCCTGTCTTCCCATGAGCCTTGGACCAGCACTGCCTCTGCCCCAGGCCTCAGCCTCCTCACTTGGACAGAGAGCAGGTGAATCAGATGTACCTTGGAGCTGTCCAGCTCTGTGGTGCTGCAGTCACAGGCACTCTGACTGCCAGCTCCCAGATTCTCCCAGAGCAGCTCTGTAGCTTCTGCTTGGGCTGCAGAGCAGGGCCTCAGTCCTTTGGATTGAAGCAAATTGTTGCCTAAGTTGAGTTCTCATTCTTTCCCTGCAGGTTGGCCTCATGGAGGTGCTGGTCGGGAAGATTTTCAACCTGGCATTTATGCCTGCGATGAACGGTGAGAGAGGGTGCCTGGGCCTCCTGGGGGCACATGACCTGGAAACCTGCTGGTTACTGGTTTTTTGGGCATATTTGACATAGAGCCATTCTACCTCAATAGCATTTCTGAGAACTTCATTCTAAGCTTATTTAATTAAGCCTCTGATGCAAATGTTGCCCTAAGGGTCTAAATCTGCTGTTTTTGCTTTATTCTATTTTTTTCTTATTTCACTGATTGTTCTGTTTTTCTGATGATCTATGTCGAATTCAGATTGCACATTAAAATTATATGTGTGTAAATTTTTAGAAAGTCCACAACAGTTTTAAAAAGAAAATCTCACCTCCACAGGAGGTTAATCTCAACAGCTGGGTACGTTTCCTCCTAAACTCTTCTTTCTCCATTTGTTTTCCCAGTACAGTCCAAGGTTATTTCCTGACTTACTTTTAGTTGTGGTAAAATGCACATAACATAAAATTTACCTTCTAAACCATTTTTAGGTGTATGGCTCAGTATTATTAAATATATTCACATTGTTACATTCTTGACTTATTTTGAATCATGTATTTATTTTTACTTATACTACATGCATACATTATTATTGTGAAATGTTCAATCAGGAGAGATAAAGCTAAAGTTGCTCTCATCGATTACCCCAACCTCCTAACCCAGAACCCGCCTTCTAGGTAGCCACATTATTAGCAAGAGGGTTTTCTTGCTCAGCTTCATAAGTTGAATAGACAGAGCACGATTCCTCCTCTCTGGGGCAACTTGTTGAACTGTGGAGCCACCTGGAGGCTGGGAGAGCTGCCCCATCAACTGGGTAACCAACCCCATTATGACTGAAAACCTCTGTCCCCAAGTCCTCATGCTACTTGGCCCTAACCTCTCCCTCCACTCCTGCTTCATGGAAGCAAGGAGGAAGAGAGACCGCCATCAGCTGTAGCAGTCGAGGTTTGTTTTAAGAGCTTTTGATGTCAAACAGATCCTTATTCTGGGAAATGTCGCCAGAGGATGAATCTCAGTCACCGGAAAAGTGCTGGTCACAAAGCCCATGCACATTCCCAGTGGGAGAGGGTGACAGCAGGAGCTGGACTAGGCTGGGCTGACTGAGGAGGCAAGAGATGGAGACGTGTCCTGGCTGGGTCACTAATAAGTGGCTGAACTTGGCAACAAGTTTCTCAATCTCACTATAATGCAATTTACCATTCTCAAAAGTGAGAGATTGGATTAGATCCATTTATTCTCAAAGTAGGTTCCACGGAAAAATAGTCCCATAAGATACTCTGAGAAAAGGGTTCCGTGGAAAGCAAGTTTGGAAAACGTTGAATATATTCCTCTGGGATACATTTACAATGTCCCTAGCTCTCCGAAACATCCTGCTGGAGTCAGGAAGTCTGTTTAAATTCATTTACTCCAGTTCCCCCCACTTACCCTTTCCGGCCTCACTTCCTCATGTCCTCTTCTTTCTATCTTACATTTTTTTCTAGAACATTAATAGCAGGCCTGACATTCTAAAAGCAAACAGTACACCCCGCAGTGGTCATTGGTTGGGGCGCCGTGTGCATCCTCCCATGCCTTCATTCAGCAAGCTTCTGTCTTTCCTCTGTGCCTGACCCAGGGCCAGGCGACGTTGGGGACACACAGTCCTTGCCTGCGTAAACTCACAGTCTAGTAGAGGTGACAGATGCTGAGAGAGAATTCATGTTTTGTGATTTCTGTGATGGGGTTGTTTAGGAGGAGCAGCAGGAGCCCACAGTTGCTTGGCCTGAAGGGGAGGAAGCTTCGCAGAGGAGGTGACATCCAAGCAGAGTCTTGAGGAAGGCTCAGAGCTCAGCAGGCAGGCAAGGGTGAGGGAGTGTGCTCTGGGCAAGAGGAGATACAAGGATGAAGGCCCAGAGGCATAAATGAAGTGTCTAGTGTTCTTGCAAATACTGGTGGCTTTCCATAGGCTGAAACCTCTTGGCCATGCTGACTATGCCTGACTGTTTGTTTGTTTGTTTGTTTGTTTGTTTGTTTGTTTGTTTGTTTTCTTTTCGCAGCCGTGCTGGGCTCTGGTGTCCCTCTCCCCAAAATCCTTAACATCGACTTCAGCAATGCAGACATTGATGTCTTGGAGGTAAGAGGAGATAAAGCTCTGTCTGCTTTCCCCTCCACCCCCAGGAAGTGGGAAGAGGAAGAAAAAGGAAGGGAAGGGTGGGGCAACAGGGGCCTCTTCCTTCGAGCGATGGGGCTGAGGGAACAAGAAACAAAGCTGTTAAAAAACCTCAAATGAAGCTTTTCACATCTACGATTTCATCTAGTCCTCACAACAGATGTCATTGCCCCATCTTACAGATGAGAATACTAAGGCTCAGAGCAGTAAGGGGTTTGCCCAAAGTGGAAGTGTGATGTTGTTTATTGGAAAAACATTTATTGAGCACCTACTGTGTGCCAGACAACATGCAAGAGGTTGGAAGACAGCAGTGAACAAAACATGTATAATCCTGGCCCTTGCAAAGCTCTCGCAGCCAATGGGGAGATGGGCCTTTGGGTAAAACTTCCCAAAGTAATTGCTAATTATAATCGTGGCAGGTACCTTAAAATTCAAATGCAGGTGGTCTTGTTTCTACTACAAAAACACGCGCTCAGTATTTGAAATTTGGAAAATACAGAAAAGATTAAACAAACACTTGTTTATTGACTATACATATATATATCTATATAGATATATAGATATAGATACATATATATCTTGATAAGACATTAACACCGATACAAAGCTATTAACTAATCTACAGACCTTATTCACCAGGTTTCCCACTAATGTCCTTTGTCTGGTTCAGGATCCAGGATCCCACTTTGCATTTGGTTGTCACCCCTCCTGAGTGTCCCCCAATCTATGACAGTGCCTCAGCTTTCCTTGTGTTTCATGACCTTGACATTTCTGATGAGTTTGGCCCATTTTAGGATATGTCCCTCAATTTGGATTTGACTGATGTTTTCTCATGATTAGACTGAGGTTATATTTCTGGCAAGAATGTTATCAAAATGATGCTGTGCCCTCTCAGCACACCATATCAGGGGCACATGATGTCAGCGTCTTATTCCTGGAGATGTGGACTTCGATCATGTGGTTAGGTGGTTCCTGACAGGTTTCTCCCCGCAGTTACTATTTGCCTATTTGTAACTAATATCTCCTGGGTAGATACTTTCAGACTATACAAATATCCTGGTTTTCATCACACTTTCTCCCACTAATTTTGGCATTATTCATTAATGGTTCTTGCCTGCAACAGTTATTACCAAGGTGTTTGCCTCATAGTGGATTTTCTACTTCTATAATTCCTTTTACATTTATTAGCTGGGATTCTGCTGTAAGGAAGAGCCGTCCCTTCTTCCTCATTTATTTATTTACTCAATTATTTATGTCAGTGCAGACTCATGAGTATTTATTTTGGTCTATGGGTCAAATCTATTACTTTTATTCTTTATTTGGCTGTTGATATTTTAACTATGAAAACTGCATTTTGGAAGAGTGTGGAGAGGGGCTCAGGCCTGCTTTTATTATTTGGGGGAAGAAGTTGATGAGGGGCAGGGAAGGAAGTGTCTTGCTCAACGTCCCCTGTACAGGGGAAGCTAATTACATGGCTGGGCTGATCCTCAGGCCCTTTGATCCCAGCCATCTCCCCTGTTCAGAGTTACTGCTTCCCAGAAATGTGACTTGCCTGATCCAAAGGCTGTTGGCTGAGGCTGCAGCCAGATGCCACCCCACCACTAACTGGGTTCTCTGTTCTGCCCTCCAAGGATCTTCTGGTGCTGAGCGTCTGAGTGACAGAGGCAGAGATGAAGTTGCATCCACAGAAAAAGGCAGAACCAGCCCAGGAAAGGCTCAGCCTGACACAGCCCCTGGGTCCAAGTCCCTTCAGCCTCCCCAACCTTCCGACCTGTCCCCACCCTGAGAAAAGATCCAGCTGTTACTCCCATTGGCAAACAATGACGTACACAGTCACCCCACGGTCAGCAGCTCCCAAGGGGAGGAAGGCCACCTGGAGGACTGAGGCCTCTCGAACTCCAGGCTGGACTCCACACTGCGTAGTTTGTGCCTTTCAATAAAAGATTCCACTTTCCCTGCAGTTGGGGCATGTCTCCACCAAGGACCCTCTCTGGGGGTCTGAGTGTTTCTTCCCTTCATAGCTGCACCTGACAGTTGAAGCTACAACTAGACGGAGGATTGGTTCAGTTTATGAGTGAACAAGGTCAGATACCTCTGAGGACCCTGCGAAGGCAGGAGGGGGATTGAATTCAGTTCTCACTGTCTTTGTTCAGTGCTCGACTTGGCTGATACCTCTTGCCTCAGTTTCCCCACCACTCCTCAGCACATGGGAAGGGCCAGCACCCAGAAGCTACAAGTTCAAAATCATCAGGCTTCACACACTGCCAGAGGGATTTCTTATAGCCTGCCTCCTGAGCGCCACGATGACAAGGGTCTCCTCTCCTTTTTCAGCTTTCAGTTACCCTCTTCCCTTCCGCTCCATTTCTGTATTCCCAGCATGTGACTTGCTCAGGTCCAGAAGGGTGAATGGGTGCATCCCAGGTCCCAGGGGAGAGGTGAGAGAGGCAAAGATGGCCTTCCGCCTATCCTCCTGAGAGCTCCTGTTTGTTGAGCACACGTTACCTGCTGAGCCCTGCCCTGAGGCTTTGGGACTTGATCTCATTTAACCTCATGAGAGCACCATGAGGTAGGTCCCAGGACGGTCCAATGTTGCACATGGGGGAAACTGAGGCACTGAGAAATGCCCAAGGTCACACAGCTGCAAAGTGACAGAGTGCGGGTTTAAATCTGATGATTTAGCTCCAGGGCTCAAGCCCTAACCATTCCCCACACTGCCTCTGTTCATAAGTTGCAAGGGGGGTGCCCTAGGCTGAATTTGGCCCCAAAGCTGTGCAGTCCCCAGAACAAAGAAAGCACAGAGAATCACACACCAGCACGTCAATGTTTCTCCTAAGAAGAGAGGCACATCACACTGCTCATATGTCATTGGCCAAAGTAGGTCACATGTCCCTGTCTGACCTCAAAGGGTGGGAGAGTATGGTCCTCTTTTATGCCTAGGAAGGAGATGAAAACCAAGTATACTGGTGAGCATAAGTAATGTCTTCCACACTCTCCCATGTCCTTCTAGGTAGGTGGGGGCTGGACATGTGGCTGAGGGGGAGCGAACTCCTGTTGCCATAGAGATTTTGCAGAAATACATGGCACCTCATGCCTTCAGGTTCAAGCTGGGGAGGCACAGATGCAGCAGCAGCTTAGAAAATGAGCAAGAAGGCTCCCAAATCAGTTCTTTTTTTTTTTTTTTAAAGATTTTTATTGGGGAATTGGGGGAAGGGGAACAGACAAGTTGCTGTCCTTTTGTTCTTCAGTCTAGTTGTGGAGGCTGTTGCTTCACTGGCCCAAGCTGGCACCATCATTGCGCTCTTCCTGGGCGAGGCAGACCAGTCGCCGGCTTCTGGACGGCCGCTCACGCTGGCTGCTGGCCGCTCACACTGGCTGCTGGCCGCTCACGCTGGCTTCTGGCTACACACGGTAGCCCATGGCAACCCACTGCCACAGGGGCTGCAGCCTACGCCGTCGCCGGCGACTCATGGCAGCCCAGCTCCGGGTTGAGCTGTTGTTCAGCATCTTAGCTCTAGAGGGCAGTGTCACTGGCCCTCATATGTGGGATCCGAACCGGGGCCCTCTGGCATCCCAAGCCAGTTCTTAACCATCGCGCCACTCGGCCGGCCCCCAAATCAGTTCTTTATGAGCACGTCCTTGTTTTCTACATAAAGCCCAGTGACTGTCCATTCAGTGAAACCTAGACTCTGGCCATGTACTGTCTGCTTAGAGCAGCGCTCCCCTAACCTCCACCCCAAGTCTCCTGGGGACCCTGTCTGCCAGGTAGTGAGAGAAATAGCCAGTCTCTTCATATTAAAAACAATCAGACAGCATTCCCTGGAGAAGTTCCCCTGCCAGCCTTGTACATCACTGGGCACAACTTTGGCATCAGGAAGTCATTAAAGAGCAAGAATTTTGGAGTTAGGAGGATGGGTTCAAATTCCATCTCTGTCACTTGGCTAACTTCTTGAGGTCTTTAGCCTTCTGAATCTGTTTCCCCATTTGTAAAATGGATAATAATAACTATAATATATTGTATTACTATTACAATGTTAATATAATATATTGTAATATAATAATAAACATAATTATTATTATTATTATCACACTCTAAGATGAGTGTGAGGATATTTAAATGAGATGCTATTTTCTGAGATGCTTACCATTGTGACTTATGAAGTCCCTTTTACACAATTAAGATATATTTTTCCCTTCCAGTGATTTTTAAAAAGACTTCTTCCCCTCCATGTTTTTCTTTTTTTTCTTTCACTTAAACATCAGGGGGCTAAAGACTGGGTTGTCTGGTTCAATATTGGCTGCATCATTCATTCATTGATTGAGTACCTACCAGTTCTGCCCTCGAGAAGCTTGGATTCTAGTCCACAAGACTCTAAATAATAAAAAATAAAAAGTAAGTAAGTAAACAAAGAGGCTATTTTGAGATTGTCTTGAGGACTGTAAAGGGGATGAACAGGGACACATATCAGGGAGGGGACCGGGTTGGGGAGGCCCCACTGTGTGCTTTCTGAGGAGGAAACACATCACTAGAGCCCCCTCGAAGGGCCTTTACAGTCCATCGCCCCTCCCCCAGTCCAGGGTCTCTGTCTTCCCTGGACTCCTTGGTAACACCTAAACCCTAGTTCCTTCAAAGGCTCGGAGTAAAGTAAGGTGGGGCTTCCTGTTTAGTTGAGAAAATGTCTGGTGTTTTTGTTCAGCACAGAGGAAAAACTAAAAAACTAGCGGTTTATTTCCCTTTGCCCTTGATTTAAATATTTAAAGTAAGCGATCAAGTTAGTTTCTTGGCATCACGATACACAGGGGTCCCAGAATGTGGGAGGAGTGGTCCATAGTAGCCTCATCAGTATCCTTCCCATCTGAGATTCCTCTAAGGTTAACGCAATCCTGCAACCCCCCGTCCCGACTCCTGAAAAGTCCTAAATTGGGGGGAATGTGCTTTGTTCTACAAAATGGGAACTTCAGGAACCTTGGGACCAACAGCCCCTGTGCCTCCCAGCACTCATCTGTCCAGGGTCAGAGTTAAGAGTTCAGCTATTAGGGACAGCTCTGCCACCAGTTCACTGTATGTCCTGGGCAAAGCTGTTCACATCTCCGAGTCTCCTTTTCCTTGTCTATAATCTCTGTATCGCAAGGTTGTTGTGTGGATTAAATGAGACGCACAGAGCCTGGCATACAGTAGGTGCTCAATTAACGTGAGCTTTCTGTTTTTCCCAGGACAAACACTTTCCAGCCTTTCATTAACTGGCTGGTTAGAAGTAAGTTGTTTCTTCTCGTAACCATCCCCATTGTCCCCCAATCCACCCCCCTTCAGTGTTAAGTAATCCTTTCTCAAAGGTCCCAAAAGCAGGTGCAAAGTCTTGGGGCCCCACCCACCCCCATCACCATGTAGAAGGGGTGACAAGAATGTACAGGCAGGGCTCCCAAGATGGGCAGGGGTTGGGGGATGAAGGCGCAGGTCCCAGACCTCACCACCAGGTGGTGCCATGACCCTGCTAATCCACATTCCTTACACTTAGAAATAAGAAGATATTTGAATAAGGCAGGCATGTGCTGGGCGTGTGGCTTTCATGATCTCATTTAATTTTCAAAGCCATCCCGCATTAGCTCCATTTTAAAGATGGGGAAACAGAGGCTCAGAGAAGTGATTATGACTAAATGTGTGAGCTGGGGAATCAGGACTCTTGGGCACAAATCCAAGTTCTTCAACCTACCAGGATATTTAACCACTCCGTGCCTCAGTATCCCCATTTGAAAAATGGACATAGATTAAAATAAACAAATAGCTAAAGTCTACTAACTATGATGAGTAACTATTTTTATCCTATGTCCAGCCCTGTGCTACACACCTTCCATGGGTCATTTCATGCGGTCCTCACAGTCACCCTAGCAGGTGGCTGTTAATATCCGGTTTTGCAGATGATGAAACTGAAGCTCAGAGAGGTTAGCTGCCTAGCCCTTTCCCATACAGCTAGAATGAGGCAAAGCGATATTCAAACCCAGGTCTTCTGACAGAGAGCAGGAGGAGGTGCGGGGGCGTCCAGGGCCCCAGTGAAGAGAGATGTCTTAGGTTCTTGTTCTGGCCTAGAGCTGCCCTGCTGTGTCCTTGCTGAGTCCCTCATGCTGCTCTGGCCTCAGTTTCCCCACTGAAACCATAAAGAATTGGGATGCATGAAGCAAGGGCCCTTTGTCAGCCTCCTGATTCTATGACTCTGCCTTGGGAGGAGACTCACAATGGGACAGACAAGAGACCACGGCATGGAGCTGCCAGGGTTGAGGCACGGGGAACGCTGCAATGAGAAGAGGGCCCCAAGCCCCCTTAGGGTCGCCCCATGCCCTGCACAAAGTGACCCCAGAGCTCACTTCTTCCTAGGCCTCCCTCATGTTATGTGGGCCCATGGCCTGAAGACACACTGACTATGGTGGCTCACAAGGCCATTCTGGCCCAGTGACACATATGACAGCGTTTGTCTTCTCAATCTCCTTGGCCAGAACCATCTTTGTGAAAAACCTGAGGGCCCTGTGGGCCTGGAGCAGAGTCACATGTAGCCAGATGTGGGGGGACAAAAAATGGAGAGAAGAGGGAAGTAGAGTGAACTTCAGCATTCTCACCAAAGTCTCTACGGGGCCCGGAGTCTGGTGTCCTTGGTCCAGTAACGAATGATCCCGGGGACACCTCCTGTTAGTTGCCAAAGGATTCGCAGAAGGAAACATCCCCACCATGACATTCATTCTTTCAGGCAACAAACATTCCGATCACATTTGATGTAAACCTGATTTATGCAAATTTGAAATAGTGTCCTGCAAAATATTAATGAAGAGTTCACATTGTGAGTTAAATTTTTTCATTGTTAAG